AACAAAACAAAACAAAACAAAACACCGTAACAAGAAATGAAAGCACTAATTTGTCTATCTTTTTCAGGTGTTAAGATAACTGATTACAATAAGATTACAAGTATTAATATGAGGAAGCTTCTGTGTACAAATTAAAAATTACACTTTTCATTACTGGAAAGGGTTTTTTAGTTCAGCTGATCTGAGAATTTTTTTTTTCTCTTCTGTTTACTACTGAAATGTGTTCTAGATTATAACACTACAGAAATAAATTACTTTTGTTCTGTTGCATTACCTAGGCTAGCATTCCCTTTGCTGTTATTGGGTCCAACCAACTGATTGAGGTGAAAGGGAAAAAAATCAGAGGTCGTCTGTACCCTTGGGGAGTGGTTGAAGTTGAGAATCCAGAGCACAATGACTTCCTTAAATTGCGTACAATGCTAGTGTGAGTAAAAGCAAATGTTGAATCTTTGACAAAAAGACTTTGCTTTTTTGAAAAATACCTCGCTTTTGTACCTTTCCAGCAAAGTGTCCTTATTTCATTTGTGGATGTTTTTGTTTCTGTGTACAGAACACATCTTTCTAGCCGTATTGATTTTACATTCTGGAGTTTTTTGGTTCTTAGCAAGTGAAGTGATGTACAGTGAAAGCTTTGCTATCTGGCATGAGTGGGATAAGGAGGGTGCCAGTCATCTAAAAATTCTGGTTATCGGAATTAATGCGGTGATGCGGGGTGGTAGATGGCAGTGGCAACTGCCGCTGTGTACAAACTCCTTTTACCCCCGCGGCCCTGCTCAAGAAATACTTTATGTGCATGCCAGATAATAGAGTATTCTGGTTAATAAAATGCCAGTTATCACAGCTTTTACTGTACAAATATATAGCTTGTATATTTAACTACATACTGATTTTTTTTTTTTTTCTGCTGAATCGCATGTGGTGGTGATTTTGGAAGATATGCTTTCTGTCAACTTGAATATATTAGTAACTTTCTTGCTTGCACCTAACTAAGCTACTAGTAAAATAAATGAGCATAAAGAAATAGTTTTTACAGGTCTAGAAGACTTGTAATATACTGTAGAGTTTATGATGACTGAAGCCACCATTGTTTCCCTTTTGCTTCATACTGAGCTGTCCAGTTCAAGCCTGTTTTAAGATGTTCCTAAGCACTTCAGTATCCTCAGAGATTCCTTGGAATACTTTTGGAGCCACTCTGCTTCCATGCACATGCACACCTGAAAGTTTTATGCATGTTTTTGTGTGCTGTACACATGTACAAATTTATCTTTACATGTTCATAGATAGTTAGGGGGTAGAAGGGACCTCACAAGAGGTCCAGTCCCCCTGCACGAGGCAGGAAAGACAACTGGGGTCAGGTGTCCCCAGTGAGGTGACCATCCAGTCTCTTCTTGAAGATCTCCAGGGTAGGTGATTGCACCATCTCGGGGGGGGGAGTTTATTCCACAGTCTGGACACCCTGACTGCGAAGATGTTTTTCCTAGAGTTAAGCCTAAAGTGGTCTTCCAGGAGTTTGTGGCCATTGCTCCTAGTTTTCCCCAAGGGTACCCTGGTGAACAGTTGTTCACCAAGCCCTTGATGTATTCCCCTGATGTAGTGCTAAGCTGTCACCAAGTCCCCTCTTAACCTTTTTATTTTTTTTAGGCTGAAGAGGCCCAAGTCCCTCAGCCTCTTCTCGTATGGTTTGCCTTGCAAGTCTCTGATCATATGGGTGGGTGATTGTGATTGCTGTGTGACGTGTAAATAGAGGGATTTTTAATGACTAGAATTGCAGCAGAGAGGCTTGAAGCAATTTGTTCTGTTGGTTTATACTTCTAAAGTGCTCTAAAACAGAAGTTAAGATAGATTAGTTCTTACCTACTGATAATGTAGAAAGTGCCACTTAAGTGCAATAAACCTGATTTATTAATATACACTGTATGAATAATTTGGCGGTGAGACACATTTTTTAAAGTGAAAGTGTTTATGGTAACTTTGTTACTGGAAACTTAATTTCATTATAGATTTCTGGCATTTTAGCAAGACTCTCTTAGACAGAGATCACCCTCTGCTGGTCACCCTTGATGTGTGTCCCTCTACGAATTGAAAGGTTTTGCATACCAGAAGGCTGTGGCACTGGGGAAGGAGATACCCTTTGAGCACTTAGCTCATGACATGGCTTTTGATTACGAAGCATAATGGAAAGGCAAACATGACTACAATTTGAAGACTTCTGCAAACATCTCCTCTGAAGTTGAGAATAACAATACGTAGCAATACAGCAGAATCAAGTTGGCTTTGAAGATCATTTTCAAGAAGGGAGGGGTGGACTTGTTGCCACTGTTCAGATTATGTCCTTCAGCCAAATAATTTGTTACTGCTTACAGATTGAGTCCTAAGTATACACAGCACTTGTGTTCTAGAAACAGTGTACGTAAACAGGTGATTGTGCTTGTGGAAGACATGTAAAACATGAACCAATTTCCCTGTTGTAGAACGCACATGCAGGACCTGCAGGAAGTGACCCAGGATTTGCACTATGAGAATTTCCGTTCAGAGAGACTAAAACGCACTGGCAAGTGAGTATGAGCTCCTTGGAGCTGTGCTTCTGTTTATCCTTTTGCGCACATACTGTGGGGTGGATTTTCTTTCCCTGAAGTTCTTTCCTAGCTCCTTTCTTCTGAAGTGCACCATCAGTGTCTTTATCTAGAAATGGTTTTAATAGGCATTATTTCAGATGGAAGAGTAAGTAAGTAATACCACATACAGATTGCTGTCTTGTTGGGTCCTGTTTTCATATCCTCTCCTTCATCCTTCCCTTGTGAATTTAGAAGTTTAAAATACATAAAGTAGCAGGGAAATTGCAAATGTTATATTTTTTTTCTAATAGCAGACTGAGAGAAATACTCAGTTGCTTTAAGTTTATTATTTTAACTGAGGCCTAGCCTCAGGGAATTAGGGTCAATGCTACTTCTCTTCTTAGTGCGAGGCTGGCACTTTTATTTTGATTTGACTTTGTCTTGTTCAGTGACTGGATATTCAGACATACCCAGCTAGTTTGGACAGGCTCCGTGTATTTGGTTTTTGTTCCAAACTGTTGGTGTTCCATTGGCATTTTATAATTAGACTTAACTGTCCTCATTCACCATGCATTTTTGTGCCGTTGACAGGCTTAGTTTCTTATGTGAGGAACGCATCTGCTAATGTCGCATCCTTCCTGATGGCAGCTTGTGTCTTTCCCCACTCAACGTTAAAATGTTTAATATTCACAGAAATATTTTAAGTTTCAAGGAGAGCAGAAATAACCCTCGCAGCAACTAGTTGATAAACTTGTTCTGTCTGTGGTGGTAGAAGGTGGAAATGGTGGAGGAAATTTTTCAGTTTACAGTAAATGACGGAACAAGACCTGAGATGCTTCCTGCACTTTAGTGTGAAACTAGAGAAGGAAAATGAGAAGATGAGTGACAAAAACTTGCACTACAGAGTATTATATATTGTTTGCTATAGTTTCTTAAATCAGTATGCCTTCCTCCAGTGTGAGAGAGCACTCAGTTTTCTTCTGTCTATATTGTCAAAAGTATGAGATTTGAATCTAGTCTGAGACTCTGCCGTCTATTTCCTTACTCCATTTAATATGTATTTATGCCTGCTAGGCCTGTTGAAGAAGAAGTTGTAGACAAAGACAGGATCCTCCAACAGAAAGAAGCTGAGGTAAGGCAACATTCTGACACGTTTTTTTCTTTTGATTTGTTACAAAACTTAAATTTAAACAGGTGTGGTATTCAATTTTTGGGTGATCCAAGTAGCTCTTATAATGAGGTCTCATTATAACTGTTTCCTGTGCTGTAAGAGAAGCTTGTATTAAAGTAGAGATTATTGCATTCAAGAGACCATGAAAAATCCCTTGACAGAAGTGTTTTGGTTGTCTTCTGAATAATCTCCATGTTTTATTTTCCCAGCTTTGATTTCTATGTTCTAGTCCACTTGACGATCTTAGGCAACAGGTTGTCTAAGGTTTTAGTTTTGGAGAACAGGGACTTAAGTCTTGTGTGCAGTTAGTTGTCTGTACAAACTTAATTGTATTTTGTGCGTATGGCATTTACATTTACTTGGTTTATTTATATATTTATTAGAATTATACGCTGTTCTTCCCAACAAAGACTCAAAGTAGCTTACAATAAGAGAACAACGTAACTTCTAAAACAGGTTATAGACCCATATTTTGCACCTTGGTGCTAATTCTCTTTAAATATATGGCATATACTTTTTGCTTGAACATTCAGACCTGCTTACATGTCTTAGCTCGGTTATTCCTTTCAAGCAACACCTTGGGAAAGGTAGGTCAAAGGTAAAACTGCTTCTTTGATGTAATTGAGCAATACTGTATGTTTCATTATGCTATTGCAGCGTATGTGATTCAGTATAAACACCCTGAGAATGAGCTTGTCCTTACACTTTTTTGCATAGTGTAGAAGCACATTATTGTGTCTTAAATCTTTAGATTATTCTTGAAGTAATTGTTAAAGTGCAAAAATAATTTAATAGTGGAGAGATTGTGAATTGCCTGATTTATCTTAGCACAACAGGATGAGTTAGTGTCCTGTTGTCTGTCTGTCTGATCTCTTAATTTTTCCATCAGCAGTAACTCTTGCTCCCCACACCGTCCCCCCCACACACACTTTAAGCTTGACTTCAACCTTATTGCAGATAGATTTATTTTTCCTTTTTTTTTTTTGTACTTGTCATATTAGAAAATGACAAATGCAACATCAGTAGTTCTTGGCTTGGTATCAAACTGATGTTTGTTAGATCAGATATTTCCACCATGCAGATGTAGCACTGAACTTTGTTTAATTCTGCATGCTGTTGAAACCACGTTTAAGTTGAAGCTCTACAGTATGTATATACAGTATGCTACATCATTGATCGTTAGTCTTTTTACCCCCTGTTTTACCTTAACACAGCTTATCTCTAGGTCACAGTTAATGAATGGAGGAAGGGCATGATTAAAAGGTTGTAAAGCTTAAACTGGCCCTAACAGAGTCTTAAGAAAGAAAGCATCTCTATGTGATAGTATTTCAGGTGTACTATAAGAGGAACCTAACATTATTATCTCCTGAATTCCCTCTCTTCTTCTAGCACATGTAATAAAAATGGTCAGCTCCTGCTAACTGCCTTGTTGGCACACTTTTTTGTTTGGAAAATTCCTCGCTGTTTTACTATGGGAGATGAGATGGCAATATTTCTTTTATTGTAACTCGTATGGTGCTAAAAACAGCACTGCAAGCTTGTGTTCTGGCAACGTTAGCACTCACGTTGGTGAAACTGTGTGGTGGTGCTGAAATACTCAGAGTATTGTACCCACAAATTGGAAATCAGTAAAGGCACTGTATTCAGACTGAAAAACAACAGAGCAGCATCACTTGCTGCTTTGAAAAGTTTCAGAAGCATTATTTGGAATTTTTTTTCTTGTTACATGGACTATTCTGACAGCAGAGACTGACAGATGTTTAGTGATTAGTATTTCTCCTTGTTTTAAATATAAAACGTGCACATACACAGATGCAAATATGTGGTCAGAGCAATCAAGACTTAGACATTGTCCTTCAAAAAGTTTATATGTTCCCTGTGGGACTAGCCAACTCTAAACAACTGCTGTTAAAGTTCAGAAGATTAAGCTGAAACTTGAAAAAACATAGATTTAAACGTTCAATGTCTGCTGTCCTTTAAGAGATTGAGAGGCTTTTTTGAGTCATTTTTGGATAAGCTGGCATGGAATCTCTTCATCTGCAAGGCAATCCGTAAGGTATAGGTTGGGGAGGAAAGGGGTGCAGAGGAAATGGGCTTACATTCTTTGGCCTTTGCTGAGAAAACAAACATCCATTTCCCCTCCTGCTTTGCATTCCCATCGGTAACGGTGCTTGAAGTTCTAGTACAGTTTTGTGAGGTTTACATAACCTCAAAGGGAATGAAAGTTTGGCTTGGTGCCAAGGCCATCATTATCAAGGCATCACTTCTGCTAAATAATGTTCCTTTATTATATCAAAGGACATGGCCCTCGGCCAGGTGGAATCATTAATCTCTAACATGGATTCTTCAACCAAATTACATGTCAAAAATGGTCTTGTGGAGATTTAATTTGGCTTTTCTACAGATAGTGGGGTGAATATTTTTTTCTGTTGATCTGCAAGTATAACACGACCTGCTTTTATGAATCAGAGGAGTGGAAAAAAGAAAGTATTGGTCGTTTATACTCTTGTAAATCTATTGCAGTTTAGGTTATTGTGACATTTTGCTATAAACAGTCCCAGTAATTTGCCTAGTAAAAACATATCCTCTTGCATCAAACTTTTTTGCAAGGACATTTTATCTCATTGAAAAGCTAAAACAATAAAACTTAAAGTCTGAGGCACTTGAATGGGACTGTTAGGCTGTGAAGTCACTATGGCATCAGGGTACATGGTTTCTAACCCCAGTTCCACAGCTATGAACCTTTCCTCTGCTTCAGTTTCTCCATGTATCAAAAGGCAGACACCACTTTTTGCAAAAGTTTTTCTGGACTTTAGGAGGAAAGGTGCTATGCAGGTGTGTAAACTAATTGCCTCCAAACTGTGCTAGTCAGTGGCAAACCAAGCAGCCTGTGATGAAGGTGCATACCTGGACATTATTCTCTAGGCAGTGGGCCTTATCTCACTTGTGTTTGTCCCCTGCGCAGTAAATAGAGAACCAGGTAATAGTTGAAGTGTGAGGAATAAACCACAAGGGGGCAGTGTCCTCTGTTTACTTGTCATTTATTAAGTATCTTAGATAACCCTGTACTGGATATTTAAATATAGTAAAATTAGTTTTTATTGCATGTGTTTGGGGAGATACTTAGTTGAAACTGTAGCTGAATAAAGTACTCCTGTGAAAAGGCAAGCATGACTGCTGTTAAGAATGGAAGGGCACCAAACTGATGAAAAAATCTTTAGAGCATGATAAATTTTTCTTAGGAAATCGAGGGGGAGGGAGGAAAAACAATCATCAGTGTCAGTCTGGTGGAGATTAGAAAGGGGTATATTTTGCCTCCTTTAAAGTTGCTTTTTGAAACCATGTAACATACAGATACAATGTTCTAGTGGTTGTTTCAAAAGAGAAATACTTGCTCATAAAGTACTGTCACTGAGCATAATGATTTGTTGTCTTTTAAAAAATATAGTGCTTATAATGCCACTGTGTCTTGTAAGTGCTGGCATTTCTCTTGATGGAACTGTCTTTTTATTTTTTTTCAATATAATAATTTTGAGTAGACTGTTTTTCTTGGCCTTAATTAACTGGATTAGTTATAACCTCTGGTATTGAAGGTATTTTTAACAAATACAGCAAGTTTCGTGGGAACGTCCTGATATTACTGGAGAGTCCAGTGCTCCAAGTTCTGTTTCTTTGTCTTGTCGTCTTCATGCAGTCTCCTCCTAATCTGAATTTTATTATGACGGAGAATCTGGATATTTCTGTCCATTATTCCATTTAGTTGAAAAAATGAAAGTTTCATTTTCCAGTTAAGACGTTAGGTTCTTATCCTTTTCCATCTATGGGGTTGTTGCCTAAGCATTACTCAACCTGTTTAAGCACGACTTTTACAATGTGCAGTACTGCTGGTTCTGTGTTCTGGCCAAAGCCTACAACCCTGTAGGTTATAATTAGCCATATAATGCTGAGTTGTATCGCTGAGGTTTTTCGCAATGGCAGGATGCACAAGAAGGGTGCTGACTTCTTCTTTCTTTGATATCCTTGGTATTGCATGGTTCCTTTTTAATTGTATTCTCTTTTCTCCTGCAAAATGTCTGTTTCTTTGCCTTAATAATAAGGGAAGTTAAATTCAGTCCTGGTGTGAGTAGCTCTCTCACCATTAAGATGTGTAGATTTTACCCTTAGGTAATTTTTGTTTTTGGACTTCTGCTTTGTCAGAATTTTTGGGAATTGCATTTCAAGAGATTCTCTCCTGCTTTTTGTTCCTGGTTTATATCAGCCCACTCAGGTCCCCTATTACAACAGCCTCCCTTCTCAAGGGATAAATGTGAATTCTTTGCGGAGCATGTTCATACTGCTCCTGCATCAGCAAGAGGATTTGCTTCTGAGCTAAGTGAGATCAGAGTATGCTGCTCCCATGATGTTTGCAGCCCCTGCCAACCTAAGGAACAAGAGACTGTGGATGTATATGAAATATGAGCTTGAGTCTCTTGTGTGGTCTCTCCATAGCTCTGCTTCAAGGAGTAGAAAGAGTGTGTGCGTTTGTCTTTATATGCAGTTTGGCTGGTCTCTGACATTCTTTTTGTGAGGAGGAAAGGGATAAGTCACTTGCTGCTCTAACTTGCAGGAGTGACTCTTTCATCCTTTCCTCATTTATAAGGATGAATATCAGGCATCACTTCTCTGCATGCAATCTAGGTCAGCTCATTCTCCCTGAACCATCTTTTCTATCATTACAAAATCAATGGATTGAAATGATTTTGTTGGCTTCCGTACATATAATGCCACCTCTTGCAGCAATGATGACTTATTTGAAAGGATGTGCTAAATATAGTCCCTTGTATGCTCAGTGATTGAGGGGGGGAAGAGGGAATAACTGATTGTATGCAATGAAACAAATAAGTCAGTCTAATTAGGTCTGTTGTGTACCCTGGGTTCAGAAAAGGAGTTTTGGGGTGTCTCTACATGTCCATTTGATGCAGGAGCAGTTTGCTTGTGAGTAAACACTTCCAGGAAGGCATCTGTATGTTCAGAGAAGCAGGAGCAGATTTGTTGCAAATGGCAGCAAATTGCTCCTGCTTTCTAGAGCCCTGCAGTAGGCCCCTGCTATGACCAGGGGGAGCTCTAGGTTCCCCCTAGGTCAGGGATGGGCAATTATTTTGGGCAGAGGGCTGCATGACAGGCAGCCCAGGGCAGATTAATATTAATTTTCTAAATTTTTTAGGGGCCTTGTGTGCTGGATAGAGTGGTCTGGCGGGCCAAATCTGGCCCTTGGGCTGCATTTTTGCCCACCCCTGCCCTAGATGCTTGCCCAGGGGCTGGCAGGGAGCACAGCAGGGACAATGTTCCTCTGCCTCAGCAGCAGGGAGTTCCTGTCCCCAGCTCCCCAACTGGGGGCAGGGGACTTGGAGAGAGCTGCAGGGGAGGTACCAGTCCCCTGCCCCGATTCACTGGTGGGGCAGCCAGCTAGCTGTCCAGGGAGGGGTTGGGACCTACCCCACCCATGCAGCTCTTTCCAGGCCCTGTGTCCTGATCACCCAACTGGGGCATGGGGCTGGGATGTGCCCCTGGCCAGGACAGTTCCTAGCCTCTGCTCTTTGATTGCGGGGTGGAAGCACAGCTGTGTGGGTAGCTTAATGAGCATTGCATGCCAAGAAAGATCCTGTTGTTAGTATTAACAGGGTTTCAGATGCTTGCCATTAGTTGATTTCTGCAACTAAATGTATGGGGAAAATACCTCATGCATAGTGTTTGCACTACTGTACTTCCTTTGTGAACATCAGCACCCTATATCAAGTTGGGTAAGCAAGGTCCCTCTCTTGGGGAAACTGAGGCAGAAAAACCCAACCTCACCAATTTTTTAAACTGTGCCAACAGCTAAATAGAGAAGCTTATTAAAATTTGGAGAGAGAGAGGAAAGCAAGTGTTACTAAGTACTCACACTTTCAATGTTAAATGCTGCACGTTTTCTTGGAAATAACCACAGTTTAAGACACGGATACATCAGTGTCTTACCACATGAGAAAACAAGCTAGTGATTATATTATGCTACATGATATATTTTTTTGAGAGTTACATTCATTTTAGATTCATGGTAATACGAAATGAAAAGGAAATAAGTCACTGAGATGGATTTTCAAATAATGTCACATCATCCTCCATCTCTCACAAATGCCCAAGTATCATTACACACACAATCATATAAGTTACACATGCAAATTAAGCACACATTTGCACATGTATTTTGTACTCTTACAATTCTGAAAAATTAAGCCTTCTACTATTTGCCTGCAAGTTGTACATAAATTTGTTGTAAATTTTAAACCACAGAGCCTATAAACCAAACAAATTAAGTTTTTGTGCAGCAGTTACTCGTTGCTATGGCAGCAGGGCCCTGTTATTCCATTAAATAATGGCAATAATTATATGGCAATGTCAGATACTATTTAAATTTTAGAATATTAGTTGGAGAATATTGTTGCTTTTAGTCTTTGGGGGGGAAAAAGACCCCCCAAAGTTATATTCTAATCATCTCTCCTACCCAAGAATTAGGCTTACTTTTGTTCTTTACCACTTTGTTTTTAGCTTCAGAACCATACACGTAGCCCAGCAAATGGGGCACAGGACTAAGGAGTCAGGAGACGAATTCCATTTTCATCACTGATGAGTCACTTAACATTTAGGGATGTTTCTTCCATTTTGCAGAATTGCCTGGTTAGTAAAACCAGACAACAGGCTCAAAATTGACATTCACTCATGGTGGTATGGGCTAAGCAATTGTAGTAACAAATAAAGCTGCTTCACCTTATTTACCTACACAAACACAAAGATCAACTTACAGGTCTATGAATATGACTTCAAAAGATTTGGGTTTTTACCACTGAACTCTCACAGTCAGGATTCTCGTGTGGCATATTTGCTTCACAGTTGAGTCATACATGATCTTGATGTGGCATTTCATGCCAAGAAGATTTCAGACTGGGACACGTGTTTAAGAAAGATGCGTCATAGTTAAATTCCATATTGTTAAATGCAGGGTGGTAAAGATATGAGACCTGTCTTCTGCCAAGGGAGAATAAGATTCACAACTTCTTGTATATTGAGTACTTGCCCTTGGATGCAAGAGAAATGGAGTGTTAGTTGTCCAAAATCAAAATGCAACATGTCATTTTTTTTCCCTTCACAGTTGCGTCGCATGCAGGAGATGATTGCACAGATGCAAGCCCAGATGAGGATGAAGCCAGGTGATGAGTGAGATGCCAAACATCTGGCTACACAAGGTACAGTTTTTTTTCATGTGCATGTGAAGTCTGTCATGCTTCAGTAATAGAAAGTGGAATCTTTTGTCATTTCTTCACAATGATGTTAATAAACATTGGTGTTGGGGGCTTAAGAAGTTTTAGAAACACTAAGATCAGTGATGAGCTAAGTAGATAGAGATCCTGGGGGTATTTTTCTGTTGGTCGCTGGAGATCTTCATAGAATCATAGAGGTAGGGTCAGAAGGGACCTTGTAGATCTTCAAGTCCGACCCTCCGCCTGAACAGGAGAAAAACTGGGCTCAGATGACTCCAGCCAGGTAGGCATCATGCCTCCTCTTAAAGACCCCCAGGGTAGGAGCCAGCACCACTTCCCTTGGAAGTTGGTTCTAGATCCTAGCCGCCCTAACTGTGAAGTAGTTCTTGCGGATGCCTAATCTAAACCTACTCTGACAACTTGTGGCCGTTATTCCTTGTTATGCTGGGGGGGGCTAGGAGAAACAAGGTCTCTCCCAAACCCTTCTGGTCCCCCCCTAGTGAGTTTATAGATGGTCACCAGGACCCCCCTCAGCCTTCTCTTGTGAAGGCGGAACAGGTTCAGGTCCCGCAGTCTTATTGTAGGGTCTTCCCTGTTGTTCCTGGATCATGCGGGTGGCCCTCCTCTGGACCCTCTCAATGTTGTCCACATCCCTCCTGAAGTGGGGCACACAGAACTGGACACAGTACTCCAGCTG